ATAAAAGGTTTCCTTTAGTTTTCTGCTTATTTTGCAATTTTCTCTTGGACAAATATCGATTCTTTTTTTTTTTACATATATCTAGATGTAAAGAATCTCTCGCGAAATAGCATTTTCATATAAATGACAATGTCAACTTTAAAGTTCATTTAGTCTTTATAACGTGTAGATCTATATGATAAATTTGCAGTTTATTTTACAATATTATATCAATAATACAGGCATTTTATTTTCTAGAACAAGTATTTTAAAAATATTTTTCAAGAAAATTGAAAATGAAATTGCCACTTGAATTTATTTTTAAATCTTGGTAGCAATTTTTAAATTAAAAAAATATATTTTTGGCTAATTAGATATATTTTTACATTGCTGGATATTTTGTTTATTTTTCTTTAAATTTTTTAAAATAATTAAAATCTTTCCGGAAATGTTATTAAAATTAAATATTGAAAATAGGTAATGGAATTCTAAAATAATAAATTTCCAGAATTTTATTTTTCATATAAAAATAATTTAAATCTTTAATAAAATAATTAAATTCTTTAGAGAAATTTTATTAAAATTGTATTCAAAACAAAATAATTTAATTCTTTGGAATAATTTTGTTAAATATTTTTTTGATTAAATTTTTAAATTAAATTTTTTCAAGATATTTCATTACAATTGTATTGAAAATATATTGAATTATGTGAATAATTTTACTTAGGAAATAAATTGAATTATTTCGGAAATTTTTATAAAAATTGATTTGAATTAAAAATAGTTTTTAAGTTATTTGACTTCATTGGAGAAATTTTATTGAAATTTTTTAAAAGAATAGAATTCCTGCGAAGAATTTTCTTACGTATGAAAATAATTATAATAATTATTAATATAACTATTTTTAAAAATAATTAAATTCCTGGAAAGAATTTTTTAAAATATATAAAAACAATTGAATTCATTCCAAAAATGAAAAATTCACTTGAAAATAATTTTGATTTTTGAGATGAATTGTACTATTAATAAAAATAATTGAATCACGTGAAGAATTTTATTTAGGAAATTAATTGAATTCTTTCGGAATTTTTTTATAAATTAAATTGAATTAAATTGAAAATATTTAATAAATTATTTGGATTCTTCAGAGAAATTTTATTTAAATTTTTGAAAAGAATATTGAATTCCTGCCAAGAATTTTCTTATTTGTGAAAATAATTGATTTCTTTCCAGAAATTTTATTACTATTTTCGATAATAATTGTATTCCTGGGGAAGATTTTTTTAAAATACATAAAAACAATGTAAACTTTATTAAAATTGATTTTTTGGGAAGAATTTTGTTAACATTTTTTTTTCATAATTAAATTTGTGCAAGAAATTTTATTAAAATAGTATTGAAAATAATTGAATCGTGTGAAGAATTTTCTTTTGGAAAATAATTGAATTCTTTCGGGAATTTTTATAAAAATTGAATTGAATTAAAAATAGCTAATAAATTATTTGACTTCTTTCAAGAAGTCGAGAAGAAAAAATAATTGAATTTTTGAAAATAATTTCATAAAAATTTCTGAAAATAATTAAATTCGTTGAAAAATAATTTAAAAATTGAGTTTTTTGGACAAATTTTGTTAAAAATTTTTCAAGAAATTGCATTCAAATTGTATTTAAAATAATTTAATCCTGTGAAAAATGCTTTTTTGAATAATTGAATTCCTGGGAAGAAATTTCTTTAAATTTATGAATATTATACAATACTTTCCAAAAATTGTGAAGTGAAAATAATAATTGAATTTTTGTAAAAGAGTTTTATAAAAAATTTTATTACTTTTTTAAAAAGTAACTAAATTCTTTCGAGTAATTTGACTAAAAAGGTATAAAAAATAATTGAATTTTTGTGAAGAATTTTATAAAAATTTTCGAAAATTAAAAAAAAATTTTAAAAAAGACAAAAAATTTAATTTAAAAAATTAAAAATTAAAAAATATTTAAGTAAATAAAAATAAAAATTTCTATACTATATATGTAAATTGTTCAAAGATAATTTTTTTTGAACCATTTTCAATAGATATATATTTGTAAACTTTTTGCATTTTAATTATCTACTTATCATACGTGTAGAATTAATTCACTTATAAGATAATGATAAGTAGCTAAAAATATCCTCATTTAAAATAATTAAAATTCAAAATTTCTAATTACTTGTCAGTCTCTGTGCTTCTTTTTACCCACGCTTGGAAATTATTTTGAAAACAGGTTAATTTAATAAACGGGAAAGGAATTTAATTATTCATTGTGGTTTAGAAAGAAAAAAAGAAAAAAAAGAGAGGAAAAATGCTGCAGGAATAATTTGACCTACGAATAAGGCACAAGTTATTCTTAAATACGTCCCAAGGATATGGGCATATCCCCAATACACTATGCATTTCGTAATTTCACTCTACGCAACTTTTCATAAAATATTCTTTGATATACTTTTCAAATTTTTTATAGTTTTCATTATTCATTATTTACCATTATTTATTCATTAGGACGATGAAACATTTTATTACTTTAATTTAATTAACTAATTTTTATTTATTTCTTATTATTATTTTTTGTTTTGTTTATTTTTTTCATTATTTTTTTATTTTGTTAGTATTTCATTATTATTTTATTTATTCTACATTTTTTATTATTATTTTCTATTTCATTTATTTATTCGCTATTTTTATGAAAAATGTAATTTCTTCACTTGATAAAAGAAAAAAGTAGAAAATCAAAATATTCCGATTTAAAAAACTAGAGCATTTTTGTATAATAAAAAATTTAAAATATTAAGTATTTTCTTTTTTTTTTCTTTAATCAACTAGAATTTTAAAATACTTTTGAGATTCATACCTTAAAATACATAGAGAAGATTTTTGTTTTTGGAGTTCTAGACTTAATAGAGACTTTCATTTTATCTTTAGTGACAAAAATAAAATAACCGCGAAGACTTTCAATTCGTCTCAGTAACAAAAACTAAGCAAGGGGAGATTTTAATTTTGTCTCTTAACGAAAAAATAAAAAATACATAAGTGTACAATATAAATACCTACTCCTTTCATTTTATTTCGAAATCAAATTTATTTACTTCATTTTTTTAAAAATATTTAATTAATGATTATTGTTAATAATACGAACGTAAATTAAATAAATACGAAATTTCTACTTGTATGATTAATAATTAATAATATTAATTGATTAATAATAAACAGTGAAATAATATTTTTAATTAATAAATAATAAATTAATTTTAAATCAATTTTTGTTGATAAATACGAAATTTCCTTTTGTATAAATAATAATTATTAATATTAATTATTAATCATACAAATATAAATAAAGGAAAATTTTAGAAAAAATATAGTGTAATAATTTAATTGACGAAAAAAAAAAGATTTATTTAAGTGATTTTATAATTCTTGAAAATATTATACAATCCTTTTAGAGAATTATATTCACGAGAATTACATAAAATGATTTTATAATTCCTCTTGGGAATCATGAAAGCTGTTTTAAATCATTTTATTATTCGTGAGAATTTTTTTTTGTTTATGAAAATTTTTTTACTATTATAATGGTTTTTTTTATTCTCCAATTATCGTGAATTGTAAATCAATTTTTATCGAAAATTAAAATTATTTTATAACGTTTTGAAATTGAAATATCCACACTTTTATGGCATTTAAAAATTTATATTCTCTAAATTTTGCGATAAACTGCGCCTTTAGGGACCAATAAAAGAAAATTATAATTATAAATATATGTATAATTAAAAAAATTATAAAAAAATATTTATAATTAAAAAATGATAAGTATTTATCGAAAAATTTGAAATTAATTGAATTCATTTCAAGAATTTTATCAACATTTTTTTCAATAATTGAATTCTTTCGAGAAAATGTAATTAAAATTGTATTGAAAATAATTTAATTCTTGGCAAGATTGTTATTTAAAATTCCTTAGAATAATTGAATTGTTTTGAAGAATTTATTTCAATTTTCTTGAAAATAATGAAGTTTTTTTAAATAATTTTAACTGAAAATTTTGATAGTAATTGAATTTTGTGAAGATTTTCTTCTAAGTTTTTAAAATAATCGCGTATACTATTAATTGTAATTAATAATTGTCCTATTAAATTATATTAAAATTATTCATAGAAAATTAAATTCTTTAAAACAATTTTATTACAGTTTTTGAAAATAATTACATTTTTTAAAGAATTTCATTAAATTTCGTAAAAATAATGTAATTTTTTAAAATAATTTTAATTGAAATTTCAAAAGAATTTTTTTTAAATTATTTTGAATATGATTGAGTTTTATTTAAATTGTATTGAAAATAATTAAATTTCACAGAAGAATTTTATTATTTACAAAAATAATTGAATTCATGACAAGAATTTTTTATCAGAATTATTAAAAATAATTGAATTTTTATTAAATCTCTTGAAAATAATTGAATTTCTTTGAAGAATTTTATTATTTATGGAAATATTTTAATTCTTGCAAACAATTTTTCTTATTTAAAAGAATAATTGAATTCTTGCCGAGGATTTAACAATTCATAAAAATAATTGAATTATTTCGAAGAATTTTATCTAAATTTTTGAAAAGAATAAAATTTTTCCTAGAAATTTTATTGAAAATTTTGAAATTAATGATTTTTTTAAAAGGATTTCATCGAAATTGTCTAAAATATTTGAATTTATATTAAAACTCTTGAAAATAATCGAATTCAATTAATATTTTTAAAAATAATTGTATTATTTGGAGAAATTTTATTAAAATTGTATAAAAAATAATTGAATCGCTCTAAAAAATATTATTATTTTTGAGAAAAATTTTATTAAAATTTTTGAATTATGATAAACAAGAATAGTTAATTATTTAGTTAATAGGTGAATTTTTTAAATTTTGAATCAGTAATCATTCAAAAATTGATGTTTATTCTTGAAAATATAAAATTTCTAATGAAAAAATAATTTTTTTGTTTCAGGAGTACTGGATATGGCTGCTACAGAAAGTACAATCAGATTTAGCGGTCATACATTGGATAAGGCGACGAAAGCAAAAGTAAGTCTTTTACTTTTTTAAATAAAAATAGTAGATAATTATTATTTAACTCAATTTTTAATTATTATTTAATAGTTATTAATAAATAAAAAAAAATATTTTGTATAAAATATTTTCAAACTAATTGTGATATTGAAATGTAAATAATAATTATAAAAATTTTGAAAATTATTTCAGGTAACTTTGGAAAATTATTATAGCAATTTAATAGCTCAACATATTGAACGAAAGCAGAGACTCGCAAAATTAGAAGAGTCATTAAAAGATGAAGGACTTTCCGAGCAGCAGAAACAGGAGAAGAGGTTACAGCATGCTCAAAAGGAAACAGAATTTCTTCGCCTCAAGCGATCTAGACTTGGAGTCGAAGATTTTGAACCACTCAAAGTTATTGGCAGAGGTGCTTTTGGCGAGGTGAATGTTTTTATTGTTTATTTTACTTTTTTTTAGTTCTTTTTAACTGTTTTTCCTTATTAAACGGTAAAATTCTCTTTAGAGGGTTATCGCAGGTCAGGGAAAAGGAGAATTTTTATTTTATCTCTTTCATTTATTTATTCGAATCAAACTAATTTTTTGTTATTGTTGCCTATTTATTTTTCATTATTATTTTTTATTCTCTTAAATCTAATTTTACTCGTCTTGAAATTTATTTTTATTTATTATTTGTTTAAAACTAATTTTATTCGTCTTAAAATTTATTTTTATTTATTATTTATTATTCGCTTAAAACTTATTTTTTTATTTGTCTTCATAAATTTATTATTTTCTTTATTTATAAAATAAGAAGTTTATGAAATTTAAATTGAAAATCATGAAAATAATTGAATTTTGCAAAGTAAGATAAATTTTGTACAATAATTCTTATTTTTGCTTTATTTTTATTTTGAAAATAGGTGAGATTGGTTCAGAAAAAGGACACTGGACATGTATATGCAATGAAAATCTTGAGGAAAGCGGACATGCTCGAAAAGGAGCAAGTCGCCCATGTCAGAGCTGAAAGAGACGTCCTTGTCGAAGCGGATCATCAATGGGTTGTTAAAATGTACTATAGTTTCCAAGATCCAATTAATCTCTATCTTATTATGGAGTTTTTACCCGGAGGTGAGAAAATCAAAATTTCTTTCTATCAGCAATTCATTCGAGCATTGAAACTCATTAAATTTTAGAAAGTTATTTTCATCCCAGTCTATTTTGCTCCTCGAACCGTTTTCATTGAATTTTCATTAAATAAAAGAAAAATAATTAGAAAATACTTTTAAAAAATTCATTAAATAAAAAAATATTCAGAAGATAACTAAAACTTTGTCAAATAAAAAAATTAGCATTAAAGAAAGAAAATAATAAATGAAAATTCGTCAAATAATAAAAACAGAAAATAATTAAAATTTGTTAATTAAAAAAACATAAAATAATTAAATTTCATTAAATAAAAAATAAGCAGATAATAATAAAAATTCACGAAATTAAAAAATAAGCATTAAAAAAAGAAATAAATAGAAAATAATAAAAATCCGTTAGATAAAAAAAACAGAAAATAATTAAAATTCGTTAATTAAAAAACTGAAAATAACTAAAATTCGTTAAATAAAAAATAGGCTGAAAATAATTAAAATTCGTTAAATAAAAAAATACGCAGAAAGTAATTAAAATTCATTATATAAAAAAAGGAAATTAAATTTGAATTAGAAAAAAAAACTTTTCTTTTTTCAAATATTAATAAATTGAAAATAGCGAAAATTCCATAATGGTGAAACAAAAGAAATATTTTAAAAAAAGAAATGAATCTAGATAATGATCTTACGGATTTCGAAAAATTTGTAACTATTTTTAATACGCATGTAAAAATGTGCGTCACGTTTCAGAAAGTCGACCTCACTGCTCTTTCTTCCTGAAAGAAAAAAAAGCCGTGAACACCTTTTAGAAGCAGAAAAAGAAAATATTACGCAAAATACTCAAACAATTTGATGTGTATTTTTTTTATTTTATTTTACAGGTGATATGATGACGCTTCTCATGAAAAAAGACACGCTTTCTGAGGAATGCACACAATTTTATATAGCAGAAACGGCACTAGCAATCGACTCCATTCACAAATTAGGTTTTATTCATAGGTAATTATATATGTTCGTCAATATTGGTAATTATTTTTTCATCAATATAAATTAATATCGAGAAAGAAATATTTTTTATATATAAAAAAGAAATTTTGTCTTTTTGAAATTAATTTGAATTTTGAAATTGACTCGCAAAAAGTTTAATAAAAATAATTCGAGGGATTAAAAGAAATTGCAATATTTCAGGGATATCAAGCCAGATAATCTTCTGTTGGATGCACGAGGTCATATAAAATTGTCCGACTTTGGGCTCTGCACGGGTTTAAAAAAATCTCACAGAACTGATTTCTATCGGGATCTAAGTCAGGCAAAACCGTCCGATTTCAGTAAGTTTCTCTTATAGAGCATTATAATTATGATCCACAAGTTTTTAACGTTCAAATGAAGAAATTGATTTGCCACTGGAAATATTTATAGAAATTATTAAATTGTAAAAAGCAAAAACAAAATTAAATATTTAGAATATTTATAATTTTTTTCTTTTCAAATTTTTATTATTATACTTTTTATTTTGTTTTGTTACTTATTTATGGTCCTTCTTGCACTGCGGGAATGCATCTCAATAAATAAATAAGAAACGCAATATTGCTTTTACAATTTTAATTTGAAGCAGAAATAAATATATTTCCTTCAATTGAACTTTCAGAACTTTAGTTATATTTAGATATATTGATTTTAATTCCCAAGGATTGTTTTCGAAGAATTTTCAAATACATTACGTTACAATTAAATTAATTACATTAATAATTAATTATTATTAAATTATTATTATTATTAAAAATATAATAATCAGATAATTTTGTCTTTCTGCCATTCATTCTGTCCGCAGTTTAATAGTCTTTGAGTATGCTCTTGTTTTTTTTTCTAAAACACTTTGCTTGAAAGATCGAAATTTTCAGACCGAAACAGTTTTCCGATTTGTCAATCACAATTTTTAATTGAAAATAAAATTGAAAATAAAATTGAGAATTTGAAAAGATTTTTATGAAATAAAGGTAATAAACTTCCATAATATTATTTATAACTCATATTTTGTTTACAAAATTTTTAGTTCCTTTTGGAAAAAAAGATTTGTGTAATTTTTGTTTTTCAATCACAATTTTTAACGAAATTATAAGTTTTTTTTAGAAATTAGTTGAAAAATAAATTTGCAGAATTTTTCTTTCAGAAATACAAATTTTTATACAAAATTCTGTTTTTCTTTTTTCTTTTTGGAAGAGAAGAAAAAAGAAATAAATTTGGACCATTTATATTTCTCAATCACAATGTTTTAACAAATTTTCCTGTTATTTTTAATAATAAATATAAAAAAAATTCGATTACAATTTTTAATTAAAAATAAAACTAAGAAATTTAAAAGATTTTTATAAAATGAAGGAAAAATATTTTCATAATTTTGATTTGTCAATCATATTGACAACCAAATTTTTAATTATATAGAAAAATTTGTGCATTTTTTAACAAAATTTTATTAAAATTGAATTAAAAATAATTGAATTCCTCTGAAAAATTGTATTATTTATGAAAATAATTGAATTTAATTTTAATTATTAAAGTTTAAAATCTTAATTTAATTTTTTTGAGAAGTTTTATTGAATTTGTTTTTTGAAAATAATTGAATTTTTGCTAAGGATTTTATTATTTATGATAAAATAGTTGATTTTCTGCGGTGAATTTTATTAAAACTTCTAAAAATAATTGAATTCTTTCGAAAAATCGTATATTAAAAATAATTCAATTCCTGCGAAGAATTTTATTATTTATAAAAATAATTTTATTTCAGTGAAGAATTTCTTTTATTAAGAAAATAATTGAATTTTTGTAAATTTTGTAGCCAATTTTAATTAATATCTATTGTATTGAAAATAATTAATTTTTATATATAGAATTCCATTAAAGTTCTTTTTTGAATCACAATTTTTAACGAAATTATAATTTTTGTTTTTTTTTATAAATTAATGAAAAAATTTGCATAATTTTTCTTTTATATTTTATTTATATCTTTTTTTGAAAAAGAAGGAAAAGTACATAAATTTGGACCATTTCTATTTTTCTATCGCAATTTTTTAACAAAATTTCCATTTTTTTAAGTAAATTTCTATTTTTTTATCACATTTTTGATTTAAATTATTTAAAACTTGAAGAATTTTGAAAGAAATATAATGAAATTAATAATTTTTTAAAATAAAAACTTAAGTATTTTTATACTTTTGCTTCTCTTAAATTTTCATGGAATTTAATTTAAAAACCTTTTAAAATTTAACTAATTTCTAAAATTCCTGTTATAACGCTTTAAATATTCAATTATTTTCTAAAATTTTAACTGAAATTTTTTTTAAATCAATTCCTATCAGAATTAAAGAGAAGTAATGTTTTTTCAAAAATACAATTATATTTTTAGATAATTTTTAAAGACGAAAAAATAAAATTCTTCGAAATATAAAATTTTACAAAATTTACAATTGTTTCAATTTTTTAAAATTATTTTCGGAAATTCAAGTAAATCTTCAAAAAAATTTAATTTCTATTTTTCAAAAATCAAATTTTTTCAGAATTTCCAAATTAAATCTTTCAAATTTCAATCATTTTTGGAAAATAAATATTTAAATACTTATTGTTGTTTATTTTTATTAAAATTTCGAAATACTTTGAATATAAAACCATTGGAGAAATTTTATTTATGAAAATTTGATCTGCAAGTCTTCCAAAACTCAATTATGTTTTTAGAATTTTGGAATAATATTATTCAATAACTTTTATTTTTTAAGGATGCAAACAAATTAATAATTTTTATTTAAATATTATTATTTGACTTTTACAACAATTAGAATTTCAAAAATTGAAATTTAAAAACTTTTTGGAATTTAATTATTTCTTCTTTAACGCTTGTAATTATTTTCTAAAGTTTTAACTAAAATTGTTTTTTAAATCAATTCTTATTAGAATTCAATTATTAAAATAGAAGAATAAATAATTCATAGAATAATTAATTATTTTAAAAAATTGCAGCTGTACCTTTTTATTGAGTTTTTGAAATTGGCGTTAAATTTTCTTACTCCACTTATTTTATTATTTACAAATTAACTGTCAATCTTTTGATATAACAATTCGAACTGTAAAACAAAAAATTGCGATAAAACAACACTAACTTCACGTGATGAGAGATTATGTTGATTATTATAATTAATTAATAATTAATAATAAATAAATAAATAAATAAATAAATAAATAACTAAATATAAAACTAAATGAATAAAAAATTTAACTTTAAATGTTAGTAATAAAGCTTTACCATATTATTAAGAAGTCGGATGTAAAATTTTCCAAATGTAAATAATTCTCCGTTAAAAAAATGTTTGGCGGGAAAATTTTGTTTGGGATAAAAAATGTTATTGTATGAAAATTTTTGTTGAATTTGAAATAGTGACTTCATGCGGAAGTGGCAGCGGTGGAGCTATGGATAGTAAAAGAAGAGCAGAAAGTTGGAAACGAAATAGAAGAGCATTAGCATACAGTACAGTAGGAACGCCCGATTATATAGCACCAGAAGTCTTCATGCAAACCGGATATGGAACAGCGTGTGATTGCTGGTCTTTAGGAGTAATAATGTATGAAATGCTTATAGGTGAGTGCTTTGTAATTTTGAATAATTAATTTTGTTTTCCTCTTTTTTTTTAATCACTGCTCTTCTTTTGAAAGGCACTGTGGAAAAGTACCAAGAGTTTTTCAAAACTTTTTGTCAATTTCTATTTTAGTTTATCGAAATATCAAGTTTTTCTATGTGTGAAAAAAGAAAATTATTTCACTTTCAGGTTACCCTCCATTTTGCACTGAGAATCCTCAAGAAACGTATAGAAAAGTTATGAATTGGAGAGAAACATTAGTGTTTCCTCCGGAAGTACCAATTAGCGAAGAAGCTAAAGATACTATCACGAGATTTTGCTGTGAGGCTGACAGGAGGTTAGGTAAGTAGATTGTCAATTAATAAACTTTCACTTCTTTCTCAGGTCGTGGATAGTGTGAATTTTTCGACTTTTTCTCCGACTATTTTTAAAAAATGGCGAAAATTTTTACTTATTTTGGGAAAAATCGACTTCTTCGACTTATTATAAAAGAATGGGATTGTCTTCCACTTATTTTCCATTCTATTCCACTTATTTTATAAAATATTGAAAATAGGTCAAAAAAATTTCAAATTTTTTCGCCTTGTTTTCAAAAAAAAGCGACTTTTTCGAAAGTAAAATAGGAAAAATAAATAAGTATTTAATTGCTCATTTAACGCAATTTTTCCAGTTTTGTATAATTGAATTTAGAAATCACAGGCCTCGGATCGACTTTAAAGCGCAAAAAAGTCGCTTCGGTAGATTAAAAACACAGAAAAATCGTTTATTTAATTCAGCGTTGTCACAAACATCTCATTTTGTATTTCCCTGATTTTCCCCTTTCACTGATTTCTGAATTTAATTATTCAAAACTTGAATAATTTTCTTAAATATTGAAATACCTACTTCTATTTATTTTTCCACGGGAAATAAAATTTTTAAAAAATTTGAATTTAAAACCTTCTGTTTAATAATTTCTAAAAATTACAAATATAACCCGTTCAAAATTCAATATTATTTTCTACAATTTGCAACTAAACTTCATCTCTAAATTAATTATTTTTAATAACTTTCAGAAAGTTCTTCGAGAATTCAATTATTTAAAAACAAAAATTCAATTTTTGATAATAATAATTGTGATTGGAACTGTAAAAGTTAGTAGGGTATAATATTTTCAAAAACTTATAATAGAGAAATTCTTAAAATTTAGTTTCTTTAAATGTTTTTACATAATTTTTGAAAAATATAAAAAAAAATAATTAAATTTTTAAAGAATTTTAAATATAAATATGAACATAATTTCCTCAAAATTTTAAAAAGCCTAAAAAGTAAATTTTAAAAAATTTTAATTTACTTTGTTCGAAGATAATTGAATCGTATAAAACTTTAATTTGCAATTAAAATTCTACAAAAGTTGATTTTCAAAAAATTGTAATAAAATATACATGAAAAAAGTTCATTATTTTTAATGAAATTTTACAAAATTTCAATTATTCAAAGTGTTTTTAATTGTATATTTCAAAAATTTAATTAGAAAAGTTATTAAAAAGTAATTTTTGAAAGATTTGTCTATACTGACCTAAAACGTACTATTTTCTACTTTTTTATGATTTGCTATTATTTGGATACCTACATTTTTTTAGATTTGTGACACAAAAACCTACTTTTTTCTTTTCTTTTTTTTTAAATTTTCACTACTTTAAATTCACTAATAGTTGGAATAAAAAAAATATTCTAAACATTTTTAATAAAATTCTTAGAAACAATTCAACAAATTTTAATAAAATTCTTTAAAACGATTCAATTATTTTCAAAAATTTTTCGAAATTCAATTATTTTCAATATCTACTTCTATAGAAGTAGATCCTTTAGATCCTTTAGAAAAAAAGACATGAGTGAGAAATCTCGAATTTAAATCGAAAATAATCGAATGTACTCTCGCAGTTATAGCAATGAAAATGAAACATAGAAGGGCACACTCACATTTCCAAATCTAAAGAAATATAGTACCTTAAAAACTCATACATAGTTAGAAGATGGAGCTAGAGTCGCTCTTTTCAATATCATTATGAAGTGGCAATTTTTATTTTATTAACTTAACTTTAGAGAAACTAAATAAAAATCTAGGTAATTTTAAATAAGTCACAATAAACAATTTAATATTAAATAAAAGGAACAATTTAAATAGAAAAAGAGAAGAAAGTAAAAAAGTCGACCGCGAAGCGGTCGACGAAGCGCTAGTATTTATTATAAAAAAGTTAATATAAAGATTTTTATAAAATTCTTCACAAGAATTCAATTATTTAAAAAAAAAATTTGATAAAGTTCTTCTCAAGAATTCAATTATTTTTATAAATGATAAAATTCTTTTCAACAATTCAATTATTTAAAAAAATTTTAATAAAATTCGTTGCAAGAATTCAATTATTTTGACTAATAATAAAATATTTACAGGAATTCATTTACTTAAAACATAATTAACATAAAATTTTTCGAAAATATCAATTATTTAAAAAGATTTTTGGAAAATTCTTCACAAGAATTAAAATATTTTTATAAATAATAAAATTTATCTCAGGCATTCAATTATTTTTAAAAATTTTAGTAAATCTCGATGCAAAAATTCAATTATTTTGATTGATAAGAAAATTTTCATAGAAATTCAATTATTTAAAATATAATTTACATAAAATTTTGCAAAAAAATCAATTGAATTATAATATTCTTCACAAGAATTCAATTATTTAGAAAAAAATTTAATAAAGTTCTTCTTAAGAATTCAATTATTTTTATAAATAATAAAATTCTTCTCAGCAAGTCAATTATTTAAAAAAATTTTAATAAAATTCATTGCAAGAATTAAATTATTTTGATTCGTAATAAAACTCGTCGCAGGATTTCAATTAATTTTAATACAATTTTCAATTAATTCCTCGAAAAATGCAAATATTCTTAAAAATGTTATTAAATACTTTTCGAAAGAAATCACTTATTTTAAAAAATTTTGACTAGTTTATTAGAATTTGAGAATTATTTTTAATACATTTTTAATTAAACTCCTTGAAAGAATTTGTTTCTAAAAGTTTTAATGAAATTCTTCATAACAATTCAATTGTTTTAAAAAATTTTGATAATGTTCTTTATAAGAATTCAATATTAAGAAATATTCAATTATTCAATAAATTATTTATTTTTATATTTAAATAATTGAATTCTCGTACAATTTTCTAATATAAATTGATTTAAAATTGAATTTCAGTTGAAATTTAAGATAATAATTGAATTTTAGAAGGTTTATAGCGTAATATTTTTTTAGAAATAATTGAATTTCAAAAGATTTTTTAATTGAAATGTTTGTAAATTCTAATTATTGTATAAATATTGCAAAATAAACTATAGGTTATTTTTGGATTATAGTCAATTTACCTAATAATAACAAAATTTTTATTTTGAAATAAAATTATTAAAGTTTTGGATAATTTTATTTAAAAATTTCAACAAAAAAAATTGAATATTGAAAGAATCACAGTTGTAATTTTTAAGAATAGTTAAATTTCAAAAAGGCTTTACGCTGAAATCACTTAAAACATTTGAATTCCTCTGGAAAAATAAATAGGTATTTGAATATTTATTTAAAAAAAATTATTCTACATTATTAAATGTAATTTTTATTTAGAAATTATGAAAAAATTGAATCGTCAAATTTAATTTTTCGATAGCTACTTTTTTTAATCTTAAAGCTACTTTTTTAAATTTTAAAATGGAGTACGAAATCTGGAAAAGTCGAAAAAGTTATAATATCCGAGGCTTGTGTTCATTTAGGGAAATTATTGAAGTTTTGTATAATTAAAATTAGAAATCAGTGAGAGGTCAGGGAAATAAAAAATAATAAATTCCTTCTTTCTTTTTTAAATACAAAAGAAAAATAATGAAGTTCTAATCTATATTTATTTTTAAAGGGGCCCAAAGAGGTGTTGAAGAATTAAAATTAGCGCCCTTTTTTCGTGGTGTTGATTGGGAACATATCCGAGAGAGACCAGCGGCTATTCCAGTGGAAGTACGTTCTATAGATGACACATCAAACTTTGACGACTTCCCCGATGTTAAATTAGAAATACGTGAGTGTAAATATTATTTTCTTCTTTTAATTTTCCCAATTATTATTATTATCATCTTTCCTCTAATTTTATCCTATTTTTATTGCAGCATCAGCGCCAATGCCACAGGATGGTGAAACGATCTACAAGGACTGGGTATTTATTAACTACACATTCAAACGTTTTGAAGGCTTAACACAACGAGGAACACCAACCAAAAAATAGCAACCTTTAATAAAGCAATACAATTGCAATCAATTGAATTATCGAAAGAATGACTTAGGTGCACAATTCATATTGTCCATTTCATAAGCTCTACTATTATTAACTATTAAGCAGAGTCGATTTAGTTTGTGTACTCCGAAAGTAATTCACTCGTTCCTCTATCATGAAAAACAAAAGTGATAGACACCATTAAATAAGTATTATGTTTGAGATGACAAAAAAAAACTATATATGTATAGTATAAAAAGACTTGGATGAAAAAAACAGATGGTCTAACTCCAAGTGACCAGATTGTGTATGCGATTAAAAAAAGCAGTGATAAAAGAAAAGGGAAATTAAATGTAAAATGCATTGACATAATTGGAAAAGTGCATTAAAAAAGAAAGAAAGAAAGAAAAAAAAATTGCGTGCCGAATTTTTTCGTAAGTGCTGAACGCATCCAGACAAGAAACAGAATAAAAAAAATATATATATATTTGGATATGTTTCAGTGGGACTGTAGTAGTGTATATGTTGGTTTATGATTCTTGCAGTTTCAGTTCCGAGTATATTATTTTTAATCCGCGGCAAAGAGATTTATTGTTCAATTCGACATATTTAGCATAATAAGCTCTCTGTGGTAAGGTGTTTTAAATGACGAGCGCCATGAATTATTGGAGCTTTGTCCACGAGCACTGAATCGTTCTGAATTAACATTGTCGTGCGAAAAACTGAATAAAGAAAAAAAACAATGAATACTTTATTGAGCAATTTTTTTTCCTACCCATTAGAATTTTATTTTTTATTTAAAAATGTGCTTTTAAATTAAATTTTTTATGAAAGTTTAAAAATTTTTAAACTTTACTCTTAATTTAAAGAATCAATTTAAATTAAATTTTTTATAATTAAGTTAATATATTATTTACTTTTATATTTAATTTAATATTTACTTGTTCGAATTTTTATATTTAATTTATGTACTTTTACTTTTTTACTTATTGAATTTCTTTATTTTCTTCCTTTTCCACCTTAAAAACTTAAAAAAAAGAAACATGAAGAGAATTAGAGTCTGCAATTTTTATTTTTTAAAAATTCAATTTCTGTATTTAAAATAATTGAATTTTCGAAAATATTTCTAAAAATTATTCAAAAATAATTGACTTAGAGAAAACTTTTAATGAAAAATTGTAGAAAATATTTGAATTCTGAGAGAGTTATAACTGAAACTTTTAGAATTATATTATAAAGGTTTCAAACTACTTATAATTTATGAAACTTTAAATTTTGATTAATTTTTTTTTTGAAATTAATTATTTTAGGTAATGTTTTGGAATTTTTGAATATTTATTTAACTAGCAAAATATATTATCCACAAAACACAGTAGTGAATTTTTGTTATTATTATTCAAATTACAAAATTTTTTATTTTAAAATAACGACTTCAATATTTTAATAATTTCAGAATCAAAATTCAAAAAATTCACTTATTTAAATTCTAATTTACTATTTTTAAAAAATTTAATGAAATTTAAATAATCTGAAAAATTGTAATAAAATTTATAGTAAAAGAATTCAATTATTTTCATGAATAAGAAAATTTTCTTCATAAAAAAGAAATTCTGTTCGTTTTAAGACTTAACAAAATTTCTCAAAAGAATTGAAATGATTTATTAACTATTTTCAATTAAATTCAATTTTTATAAAAGTTCCCGAAAGAATTCAATTAATTTCCTAAATAAAATTCTTCACATATTCAATTCATTTGAATACAATTTTAATGAAATTTCTTTTAAAAAATGTAATTATTTAAAAAAAATTTAATAAAATTCTTCCAAAAAATTCAATTTTAATAAACTTTCTTGACGAATTCAATTATTTTCAAAAAGTCAATTATTTTTATTAATGATAACGTTCTGCTGAATTCAATTATTTTCAATTTAACTTTAACATTGTTAGAAAGAATTCAATTATTTTTTTATACATTTTAAGAAAATTCTTTCCTAGAATTCAATTATTTTCAAAAATAGTAATAAAATTTCTTGCAAAAGTAATAATTAATAATAATTTATTAATTGTATTCAAATCAATTCAATTTTTATAAAAGTTCCCCAAAGAATTCAATTAATTTGCTAAATAAGATTCTTCTCAGAAATTAAACTATTATCAAAAATTTTAGTTAAAATCTTCGAAGCAATACAATTATTATCATAATAATAATAAAATTTTGACTATAGGAATACCTACAATTATTTTTTTTTAAATTTCAATAAAATCTTTTCGAAAGAATTCAATTTTTAAAAGTTTTTATAATATTCCTTATTAAGAATTTAATTACATATCTTCAATGCAATAATTTTAATTAAATTCCTCGAATTAACAATTGAATTATTTTTTGAAAAATATTAATAAAACTCTTCCGAATAATTCAATTTAATTTCAAAAATTTTAATAAAATTATTTTAGATTTAAAAATTATAAAAGTGAAACAAAAATTGTAACATTTTTTTCAACAAGAATTTAATTTCTTTAAATTAAAAAAAAATTCCTTTTTTAATAAATAGAAAATGCAAATTTTAAGAAATTGTAGAGAATTTTATTTTTAAAAATTTTTCAACATTAATTATTAATAATAGGTAATTATTAAACATTAATTATTAATCATTTTAGTGGTATTTTAAATTAAATTTACATTCTTTAAATTCTGAAAAAAAAATTTTCAAACTGACAAAATATAATTGATTTATTTAAAAATTCTAGAAAATAATTGAATTTTGTAAGAATTACAGATGTAATTTTTAGAAACAATTAAATTTCAAAAGATTTGAAATTGTAATTTTCGAAAATTTTAATTATTGTTGAAAAATTAATTTTTAATTAAATTTTTATTACTTTTATTATTATTATTCATTAATAATTATTTTACTAATTAATTTCATTCAATAAGAATTTTAAAAAAAGCCTAAAACTGATTTTCGGCGCATGCGCGCTGGAGCATTGAGAGTGGGGGGAACTTTGTAATTTGGAGTTGTCGTTGATTTTGAGTAAACAACGATACAGACAAAATCGTGTTTATCTGTTCATTAGTCAGTCACGAACTGAAAAGTGGTACGTGTCTCACGCGTTTACTCCAAATCAGATTGCAACAAAAAAAAAAATTGTGTATTGTGTTTTTGTTACAAAAAACGAAATGTCATTTTTGTTAATATTATTTTAAAATTTTTATTTATTAAAACATTTTTTTGTTTTTCATGCTTTTTTTTGCTTTAATGAAAACTTTGCGTGTGGTTAGAAAAAGAAAAACTCTAAAAGTGAATTTAAAAATTTCCCTTCTATTTACGGAGCATAGGAATTTTCGATAAATTTGGAAATTATTTCGAATACATTCAGAGTGAGTTTTTATTTAATTCTTTGCTTTCTGTCTTTTTAAAATTATTAATTAAATATATTTTTTAAATTATTTATTAATATTTGCAATTTAATTAATTTAATATATTATTTTATTCAGTATTTAAATAGTTAAATGTATTATTTATTAAAATTCAGAATTTAATTAATTAAGTATATTATTTATTAACATTTAGAATTTAAATAGTTAAATTTTATATTATTTACTAGTAAATGTGAAACGGATCGTGATATTTAATTTATTATTATTATGAAATTTAAAAAACTTTTTATTTTCAAATATGAATATTTGAATAATTTCAGGTTCACTTTAAAAAAATTCAATTATTAACTAATTTACTAATTAATTATTCTTGTTTATTAATTTCAAATTTTTTTTAAAAATTATTTGCAAGAATTCAATTATTTTCAGAAATAAATAATAATAATAAAATTTCACGAACGAATACAATTATTTTTTCTAAAATTTTAATAAATTTTTCGAAACAATTCAATTATTTTTTTTATTTATTAATAGTGAAATTCTTTGCAAAAATTCAATAATATTCAAAGCAATTTCACGAAAGTATTCAATTTTTTTCTTAATTCGTTATAAAAAACTACAATAGAATTCAATTATTTGCTAAAATTTTAATAAATTCTTCAAAAAAATTCAATTATATTTATAAATAGGTAGTAAAATTCTTTCCAAAAATTCAATTATTTTTAATACAATTTTAATAAAATTTCGTGAAAGAATTCAATTTCTTTATAAAAATATTTAATAATATTTTTCGAAAAAACTCAATTATTTTCTAAAATTTTAGTAAATCCTTCGAAAAAATTCAATTATATTTATAAATAGTGAAATTCATTTCAAAAATTCAATTATTTTCATAAATAATAAAATGTTTCGGAGGAATTCAATTATTTTCAATACAATTTTAATAAAATTTCTACAATTATTTTTAAAAATATTATTTAAATTCAATTACTTTCAAGAGTTTTAATAAAAAAAATTCAAAGAAATCCTTCAAACAGAATTAAATTAGAATTTTTTAAAATTTTAGCAAAATTCTTGGAGCAAATTCAATTATTTGCCTAACAATAAAATTCTTCGTGAGAATTCAATTATTTTCCTAAATAATAAAATAAATTCTTCAAAGAAATTCTATTATTTTCAAATTTTTTCATTAAATTCTTTGCAACTATTCGAAGATTTTCAATACATTAATAAATATTTAAAAAGAAAAATTTAATTAATTAAATTTATATTATTTACTAACGTTTATTTTATTTAATTAACTAAATACATTATTAATTGACATTTGCAATTTAATTAATCAGTAAAAAAAAATTGTCATTTAAATAACTTTTAAATACGCAAATTAATTATTTAGTTAATAAAGAAAAAAAATTTGTTATTTAAATATCGCAGTATTTGTAAATAATAATATATTTTAATTATGAAATGTCACTTTATTGTAATTTTCTGATTAATCAATAAATTCTTAACTTTTTTTCTTTGTTCTCTCTTTTTTTTGAAAAACTTTTTCTAAACTTTTTTTATTTATTTGAAAAATGCATTGGATTTTTTTTTGTAATTTTTAAAATTAAATTAATAATTTCGTATGGCCTATTTTTAATTCGTAAAAAATAAAGTTGACAAATTTGTTTCTAAATGATAGTCATTAGTGTTTAATGTATTTATAATATTTATTCCTTTAAAATTGACATTTTATGTAACTTTTGTTTCATTGTATTTACCAAAAAGGTAAACATGAATTTTTAAATCTATTTTTAAAATATTTTAAAATTTATTTTCATATATTTTCCTTTAATTTCATAATAATAAAAATCGTATTAAAATGTCATTGAAAATTTTTACGAATTGCAAAATCCCAAAGGAAATTAATAAATATTAAGGAGAAAAAAGTTGAGAAATTTGAATTCTTTTGTAATTTTTTTCAATTATTCAGAAAATCTGTAAATATTTACTTTTTTATTATTATTTTTATTTAATTATTTAATAATATTTATAATAATAATATATTTTAATACTTTTTATATTTTTAATAAAATAATAAAAATATTAGATTAACAGAAGAGTTTTCACAATACTTTTTTTGGGTTTTTATTTTATGTTCAACTGTGATTTTCATTTTTATTGAATTCTGATTTTTGTGGTTCTGTCTAGACAATAAACAATGCAATTTGGAAATTTTCGATAGACAAAATGCCGATTGGGATCAGTTAAATTTTTATTGCACCTGTCTTGTTTTTAGACACAAAATAACAATTTTTGACAAGCGCCTTTGTTAGAAAACCTTATGACAGTCATTTCTTTTACTCTTCGCTAATTGCTTTAATTCTGAAACTTGTCAGCTTTTCAACTTATTGAAAGAAAATTTAATTTCTTACCTGAAGATGGGAACATAATTATTCTTCTTTTTATTCCTTTTCTCTTATAGTTGTACAATGTATTCGGAAAAAATAAGAGGTTAGTCTCAATTCATATCATTTTAACTTCTATTTTTATAAAATCTTATTTTCACTAAAATTTCTTTTTCGCAAAAAAAAATATTCTTTACTTTTTGTTTGGTCTTAAATAAAACAAAAACCAAACAAAAATTCGATAATATTTTACAACTGTCAGTCTATAATTTTCAATTCAAAGAAGAAAATTTACTTGATTTCAATATTAAAAGATTAATGAAAACTTTTAGATACATTTATTCCATGTACTTTTCGGTATATTTAACTTTGCCGGCTCTTTAAATGATTCAACACACACTTTTGACAGATTCCGTTAACGACGCCATTTTGAAAAAAAGACACAAGTGCGCATGTGTGTACTCGTGTACTCGTGCCTCTGATGATAGTAGCATATACTTATGTATATTAAATTTCTATTATATTAAAATTACTAGTTGACAAATGAAAATAATTTACTTAATAATTAACAAAAAATATGTATTAAAATGTGCAAACAAGGAAATTGTTATACTGTGAATAAAAAGTGTAGAAAATCGATATTTCCTACAATCAATGAATTGTGTTTATTAGGGTAAATTTCTTACGATTTTAAGGTCATTGGAACCATAACCTTAAAAAGTTAAAATAATTTTTTTTTTGTTTCTTAATTATGTAAAACTAGAAAATTTTAATTTATAACAAAAATTTTTTTTTCATTGGTAGTAAGTGTTTTATTTATCCAATCGTACGATTATCGTTGAAATTGAAAATGTTAATTGTGAATAAGTGACTTATTGAAAAAAGAAAAAAATGTGTCATTTGTTTAAAACGGAATAAAATTAAATAATGAAAATTAGTTCGAGTAGAGTAAGTAATTGCAAAAAAAAATTTCAATATTGAAAATTCGAATTATTTTTAAGATTCTGGTTTCAATGAACGAATTTGAATCCATTTTGGAGCAGAGAAATTGTAAAAATTTATTTATTGCTAATTATTCGCTACTTTTTGTTTAATTTTGGGCTTAAATAATTTTGTTGGTTTCTAATTTTTCATATTTCTAAAGAATTTGTTATTTTTTGATAAAAATATTTGTTTCTGTTTGTGCTAATATAGTCAGTCCTTTTTAGGTATTACGTAAAGATGTTTGTGTATTTCGAGAAAGAGGAACTTGTTAATACGCCGTCATTTAGAGATGGAATTAATGGTGAGACCGAGACGCAATACAGAAAAGAGGGAATCAATTTTATTCGAAATATGGGCGAAAAATTGAGTCTTGGATATAATACAATTGCAACAGCTGTCGTTTATTTTCAACGATTTTACATGGCCCATTCTTTTTCCGAGTTTCCTTTATATGTGAGTATTTTTTTCTTTCTCTTAAAATTCTACTGTCATTGAGAAATTTTAATCACTTATTTATTTTTATTTTTATTCATTTATTTATTTTTACTTTCATTCATTTCTGTATTATTATTTTTGCAAATTTTTCAAGTTTGCCTTTTTTCTTAATTATTTTATTTTATTTTGCTTACTGTAAATCACTATTATTTTAATAAAAATTTTCCCAAAAGAATTCAATTATTTAAAAAAAAATTCTTTTATAATATTCTTTGCAAACATTCAATTATTTACAAAAAATTTAATAAAGTTCTTCGCAAGCATTAAATTATATTTATAAATAATAAAATTCATTGCGAAAATTCAATTATTTTTAAAAATTATACTAAAATTTTGGTCAAAATTCAATTATTTAATTACGATTCAATTATTTCCAAAATTTAATAATAATAATCTTGGGAAGAATTCAATTATTTTTTAAAAATTTTACTAAAATCCTTTGCAAGAATTTAATTATTTGTATAAATAACAAGATTCTTCGCAAAGATTCAATTACTTTCAAAAATTTTAGTAAAATCTTTAACAATTATTCGATTATCTTTATAAATAATAAAATTCTTCGAAATTTACTTATTTTCAGAAATTTTACTAAAATTTTAGTCAGAATTAAATTATTCTGATTATGTTTCAATTATTTTTTAAATCCTTATGAAATTCGCAAGAATTCAATTTATTTCAAAAACTTTTTTTAATAAAATTCTTCACAAAAATGAAAATAATTTTTTAAATAATAAAATTCTTCTCAGGAATTCAATTGTTTTTATAAAGAATAAAATTTTTCTTAGATAATGAAACTGGCAACTAGTTAAAAATTTCAGTAAAATTCGATGCAAAAATTCAATTAGTTTTCTTGATAATAAAATTTTCACAAGAATACAATTATTTAAAACACAATAAAACAAAAAATTTTTCGAAATAAATCAATTGTTTAAAAAGATTTTTAAAAAGTTCTTCACAAGAATTCAATAATTTTAAAAAATATTTATTAAAGTTCTTCGTAAGAATTCATTTATTTTTATAATAAAATTCTTCTGAGGAATTCAATTATTTATAACAAATATTTATAAAATTCTTTATGAACATTAAATGATTTTCATAAATAATAAAATTTTCAAAGGAATTCAATTATTTAAAACACAACATAAAATTTTTGAAAAAATTAATTATTTAAAAAGAATTTTCTTAAATTTTTTAGAAGAATTCTTGTCAGAATTCAATTATTTAATTACGATTCAATTATTTCCAAAATTTTAATAAAATTCGCAAGAATTCAATTTATTATTGAATTCATTTTAAAAATGTTAATAAAATGCATTGCAGAAAATCGATTATTTTTTATTAATGATAAAACTTAACGCCGCAGGATTTGAATTACTTTTAATACAATTGTAAATTTTTAGAAATAATTAAATTTCAAAAATAGAAATTTTAATCTTTGAAATTTTCAATTAGGTATTATAAAGCTGTAGCTAATAATACTAAAAGTTTCAACAACAAAAAATTGAATTTTGTAAGAATTCAAGTTAGTTGTAATTTTTAAAAATAGTTAAATTCCAAAAAAGCTTTACATTGAAATCATTTCAACTATTTTATCTCCTGTGGGAAAATAAATAGGTATTTAAATGTTTATTTTAAAAAAATTATTCTATTATTGAATGTAATTCAATTTAGAAATTATGGAAAAATTGAGTCGTCAAATTTAATTTTTCGGTAGCTACTTTTTCCTATTTTTTAAACTAATTATCGAGTACGAAGCCGGAAAATAATTTTTCAAAGAAAATTGGAAAAGAACACAAAAAAGTTTAGTTTTGAAGACGAACTTTCGAATCGGAAAAAGTGCACTTTTGAGCCTTCTCTAATTAAATCATAACTTTTGTTAAAAAAAAGAAATTTTTTCGATCATGAAATTACTAAAAAAAAAACATAGTGATGATTAATTGTACAAAAGTTTGAAGCAGAATTGAAAATAATTTTTAAAGTCACCACTGAGTGAAGAATCGCCCATTTATATAGGAAAATTGAGAGAAATATTTGTGAATTTACAGATTACCGCATGCAGTTCGTTGTTTCTTGCTGGAAAAGCGGAGGAAACGCCAAAACGAAGTAAAGATCTTTTGAAAGCTGCTTGGGATATATTCGCCAATGATGCGGCTGAAATTATCGAGAAATTCGGCGAAACTCCAAGGGAAAGTGTCATGAAATGCGAGAGTGTTTTACTCCAAACGGTTAATTTTGAATTCGACATTGAACACCCCTACAAATATCTTGTAAAATATGCCAAATATTTGAAAGGAGAGAAAACGAAAATTCAAACTATTGTTCAAATGGCATGGAATTTCGTCAATGACAGGTATTAATTGGAATCAAAAATTAATTCTATTCAAATTATTATTATAATAATTATAACTAAATAATGCTATAGTAACTGGAAAATGAAAAATACTTTTTTTCTTCAGTTTAAGTACAACATTGTGCCTTGAATGGGAGCCGGAGGTGATAGCCATAGGTTTAATTAACGTGTCAGCGAAATTTAATAAATTCAAAATCGACGATTGGAAGGGACGAAAGCCAAGTCACACAAAATGGTGTGATTTATTCATTCTCAATTTAGAAAATTCCGTATTGGAGGATATTGGCAATCAAATTCTGGATTTGTATACACCAAAAAATAAAGAGATGCGTGAATCTGGAAATGCACCCTTGTCGCTTGCATCGTCAGGAACGCCAAGTTCTTCAACCTCATCTCCCAATGAATCTCTCTCCATGTCCATAGAAGGTAATTTCGACTCAAAACAAATAACAGGGTTACCACAGGTCAGGGAATTCAGGGAAAAGTCAGAGATTTTTATTAAAGTACTGGAAAAAATTAAATTTGCACGATTCATAATTGGTTTTATTTAATTTTTTAATATTTATATTCAATTAATTATTGAAAATCATCGAGTTTTAAAAGAATTTTAGTTAAAAACACTTAAAAAGAATTGAATTTTAGAGAAATTACAAATGTTTGCAGAAATTCAATTATCTTCAAAAATTCTTAAAATTTGCGTCAAAATAATAAAAATAATAAAACTTTTCTCCAAAATACAATTATTTTCATAAATAACAAAAATTTCACAGGAATTCAACTATTTACAATTTTTTTTATAAATTTCTTTGCAATAATTCAATTATTTTCATAAACAATAAAATTTTTTGCAGAGACTTAATTATTTTCATGAATAATAAAACTCATAATAGAATTTCAATTATTTTTAATACAATTTTCACCTAATTCCTCGAAAAATGTAATTATTTTTGAAATTTTTATTCAAATTCGTCGAAAAAATTCGATTATTTAAAAAATTTTAGATAACATTCTTTATGAGAATTGAATTTTGAAGAATCAAAATTTCTTAAAATTGAATTGTAAACAAATGGATCTTCAAATGGATTTGAAAATTCTCTAGAAACTTTTGCAAAAATTATTAAAAATAATTGATAATCCTTCATTTATTTATTTCAAAGAATTTTAATAAAATTTGTGAAGTTTTTTCGTACATTTTTCGAAGAATTTATTTAAAATTGTATTAAAGATAACTGAAATTCTGTGAGGAATCTTATTATTTAGGAAAATAATTAAAGTCTTGCAACGAATATTTTTTACATTTTTTTTAAATAATTGAAATCCTGTAAAGAATATTTTTAGTTATGCAAATAATTGAATTCTTGCAATGAATTTTATTAAAGTTTTTTTTAATAATTGAAATCCTGTGAAAAATTTTATTATCAATCAAAATAATTGAATTTTTGCATCAAATTTCACAAAAAATTTTTTCAATAATTCAATTCCTGATAAGAATTTTATTATTTTTAGCAATTAGAAAATATTTAAAAAAGTATTAAAAAATTCTTAAAAGTGCAAAAAGATTTATTGATTCATGTTTAAAATTAGTTGATTAATTATTCTTTAATAAAAAAACTAGTAAAAATATAAAAATAATAGATAAAATATATTTTTAAAGTCGATCCGCCAAATAACCCAATTTTAACGTTTTTATCAATTAATTACGAGAAGGTGGAACTATTGAATTAAATAAAAACTCACCGAATATAGAGTATTTTTGATGAACTTTCAGGATTTCTTATCACTTTTTTAATTTTTCCTTTAAATATACAAGAAATATTGAGTTGAAAGTACGCGATTTCTGAAATGTTGCGTACTTTACAACTTAATAACTCCGTTCAAGAAAAATAAAAAAATTTGTCACTTTCACAACTTCTAAATCACAAAGAAATCTATACACTCAAAAATTTTCTTTTTGGTCCCGGGTATAATTCACAAAATATAAAGGTTTAAAAATTGCACACTTTTTCAGGTTAAAACTATTTATTTTCTTAAAATTGAAGTTGGTTTTTTAATGTTAATCACGTTCCGATCATAGTGTTTAAATTAAAAGCCAACTTCAATTTTAAGAAAATAAATAGTTTTAACCTGAAAAAGTGTGCAATTTTTAAACCTTTATATTTTGTAAATTATACCCTGGACCAAAAAGAAAATTTTTGAGTGTATAGATTTCTTTGTGATTTAGAAGTTGTGAAAGTGACAAATTTTTTTATTTTTCTTGAACGGAGTTATTAAGTTGTAAAGTACGCAACATTTCAGAAATCGCGTACTTTCAACTCAATATTTCTTGTATATTTAAAGGAAAAATTAAAAAAGTGATAATTTAAATCCTAGGAAAAGTTTTATTATTTATGATAATAATAATTGAATTCTTGCAACGAATTTTCTTACATTTTTTTAAATAATTGAATTGATGTGAAAAATTGTATTTCTTATAAGAATAATTGAATTCCTGCGAATTTTCTTAAAAGTTATTGATTTTCGAAAGGTTTAAATTTGAATTTTTTGGAAATCTTAATTCCTATAGAATACTAATGACGATTAAATATTTATTTATGTTTTCGAATAATTTTACAATTAGTCAAGTTCGTAAATAAATGTATTAGAGAACTTTATCTAATATTTTTTAGAGTGAATCAGAATATTTTTGAGGGTCAGGGTTAAAGTTAAAATTTTGTCTGGAAATCAGGGAAAAGTTAGGGAAAAACAAAATTAATTTTTTGTGGCAACCCTGAATAAATAAACAAACAGATACTAAAAGCACAAGAAAGTAAATGATAATTAAAAAAAATAGATACAAATAATAGATATTAATAAAAATAACAAAAAATAGTAATAAAAAATCGATAAAATTAATGATAAAATAGTAATAAAAGTAATAATAAATAAATAACTATATTTACTCTATTGAGAGTAAAAAAATGAAATAAAAAAGTAATAAAAAAAAGAAATTGAAAAAAAAGTTTAGTGTTTTTAGAGTAAAAAAAATAATACTATTTACCTTACTTTACTACTAAAACTAAAATACAATTTTCTTACAGATTCAAATCAAATGGTAATTGGAGCAAATTCAAATAATGTTGTCCACATTCCGGGACTGCCACCAGTGGATTTTTCAGTACCGCCACCAGTAATATTTTCAACGCCACCACCGCAAATTAATGTCTTTGTACCGCCACCAGTCGTACATTTACCACTACCATCGCCAATTAATTCAATGTTACCGCCAGTGCCTGCAAATTTATCTGTACCGCCACCAAATTTTTTCCCCAATCAGTGCAATTTTAATGTTTCATCGTCCCCATCGCCAGTCACGCCCGTTCAAGCGTTTAAGCAAAAAATAAATTATTCCTGTTTTTCAACACCAGACTCACCATTTAATAATCAATTAAATTATTCAACAAAAACGTGATTTCTATCTAAATTAGAATGTATCTTTTTTTACATTTTTTTTTCGTTATTTATTTTTAGTGTAAATAAAATTGTACATAATTTGTTTTACAAATTTTTAAATGTCTTTATTTACTCGATTTCATTTCATTTTTAGTTCCATAAGATTTTTAATATTAATTACATTTTATTATAGGTAATATATCATTATTAAGTCTAATTCATTAATTTTACCAAAAAAGAATTTTTAATTATTTTTCAAATACAAAATAATTATTTACAAATAAATATTATTATTTACAACTTAATTAATAATTTATTATTTATCAATTATTACTTTTTATGGTGAAATTTTCATTTTTTTTATTACTATCATTTTTTAAATAATTTCAGATTCAAAGTTTAAAAAAATTAAATTATTAACTTTTTTACTAATTAATTATTCTTGTTCACTTAATTTAACAAATTTTAATAAAATTCTTCGTAAGAATTCAATTATTTTTATAAATAGTAAATTTTTTGCAAAAATTCAATTATTTTTAAAGAAAATTTTAATAAAATATCACGAACGATTAAAATTATTATTTTCTAAAATTTTAATAAATCCTTCGAGACAATTCAATATTATTTTTTTAAATAGTAAATTCTTTGCAAAAATTTAATTATTTTCAAGAAAATATCACAAAAGAATTCAATTTTTTTTAATTCGTTATAAAATCTTTGGAAAAATTCAATTTTTTCTTAATTCGTTTTAAAATATTTCGAAAAAATTCAATTATTTTTTGAAATTTTAATAAATTCTTCAAAAAAATTCAATTATATTTATAAATATAACATTTAATATTTTTTAAAAAATTCAATTATTTTCTAAAATTTTAATAAAATTCAATAATCAAATGTTGAATTTCAATTAATTAATTTTACTAAAAAACTTTTTTTACATACAAAATAATTTTTTAGAATTAAATTTTTTTTATTATTTATAGATTATTTTTTAGAGTAAAATTGGTTTTTGTTTAAATCATTATTATTACTATTATTAGATTAATATAGTAGTAAAAAAAATGAAAAGAAGAGAAAAGAAAAAATTTTTTAAATAAATAAAAAGAAATTAAAGTACAAAATAATAATTTACGCAATAAACCTTTTTTTTTACAATTTAATTAAATTAAATTCATAAAAAACAATCTTAATTATTTCAATTTTACTTAAGTATTTCCTTTACTATTTTAAATTAAATTATTATTATTATTATTATTATTATTATTATTATTATTATTATTATTATTATTATTATTATTATAGTCTCAGTTCAGTGTAAAAATTGTAAACAATGAAAAAATTAAAAAAAATACTAATAAATTTCAAAAAGCCCGCCAACATTTTTTTAAGTATAGCGAGTTTCTACGTTAGCAAAATTTAGAGGGAAAATTAGCAAATTTTTCTTTTCAAACCTACAAAAGTGTATAATAATAAATGAAAACTATTCATTTTCCAACAAAAAAGAAAGAAGGTGGAAAAATTGAGGAAAAACCCTTCTCATTCTTGTTTGCCAAAGGGAATTTTTCAAGTTGGCAACACTGTTGAAAAAAACCGAATACAGCGCCACGGAAGCATCGAAAAATCAACATCCGGCGAAGCAGGGATGCGCATGTCCCGGTGTTTCTCTTAAAAGAATTAGAATGAAAAAGGACGACGCGATCGTGATTTCATTGTAAAAAACTGAGATGAGTGGTAATTTGACAATTGGAAAATTTTGAGAAACTCTGGACGGGCGCCGGACTTCCGGGTTCCCCTAGGCGAGGGTAAATTCAAAATTCTCAATTTTCTCCTGCGCTTGTGTATTGTTTTCCTACGGTCGTCGTCGGCTAGCTCTCCTGTTTCCCCCCCGAGTCAAAATCCACAAGCCGAACGCGCACAGCAAAATTTATCATTTCTTTTTTTTTCAAAATAATAACAAAAAAAAATAATAATATAAACGATACAAGGAATAATTCACAATATCGACGTGTGTTAAACTATATAGGAGTGCGTGATATAAATTGAAAAAAAACACCGGACCAATAACAAGTTGGGGGGGGTCTCTTGATGTTTCATTGAGCGCTCCTCCATTACCAAAGCTTGTCCGGCACTCGTGTTTCTCGACCGGCCTTCTTAACAACCAAATACCCATCGAGAATCGAGGAATTCGTGAATTTGCTTTTGCAAAAACGGCGTGCACTTACGAAGGCACCAGGTAAATTTCGTCCAGCATTTATCTCTTTTTTTCCATTTTCCTCTCTCTTTCTCTCTGTCTCTCTGTCTATCGCTGCTGCCATCCCCGAATTCAGTTCAGAGCGTTGCGCTCTTATTACCCTTATTCTCGATGATGGGAGTCGACGAAAGGTTAATTCGACGAATCATTATTCACTGAATTCAAGGTGATGGTTGATTTTGAGACAAATTGAGAATATTTTCATTTAACCCGGTGACTCCTCGTGTGCCTTTTACGTTCGCCCTAATTTGTTTGATTTTTTTGTCCCATCTAAAAGTTGTTATTGTGAAAGTTCTCATTTTTCTTATTATCAGCGTGTTCTTTATCTTTGTTTGCTATATATATTAATTTTTTAAGTGCAGTGTTAGTGACTTTTCCCTTTAGAATGAAAAAAACATCTGTTTTTCTCAGTGTTTACGATTTTTTCTCTGTTGTATAAAAAAATAGAATTAACCAGAGTGATCCAAATTGGTATAGGTAGTATTTGGCGGAGGGGAAAATGTATCGAAAAATTTTAATACATGAAAGAAATTTAAGAATTAATTTACTATTACTATTAGTAAATAATTTCAATTAATTTACTGTTACTATTAGTAAATAATTTAAATTAATTTATTATTTACTTTGAATAAAATAAAAATACGAATAAAAATAAATAAAATAAGAACTTACGATTTAAATAAAACGAAAGTTTTATTTAATTTCACATATAATTCTTGTGATTTTTATTATTTTCGTATTCACTATCATTTATCTCGATTATTACTAGCATCGTAACTATCGTTAATTTTTTTTTAAGTTTTTTGACGTTTTACAGGAATTTTTTCCCTTTTTAAGAATAATTTTCAAAATTATTAACATCGAAACTTTTATTTTTAATTTAAAAATGTCAGTGGGAAAATTTTTCTACTTTCGGCGAATATTTACTTACAGATTTGTTTTTTATTCTAAAGGCGAATTTCCCATGAAAATTAATATTTTATTTATTTATTTTCTAGTGAAAATGTGTTTTAATTTATTTTTTACATAAGTACGAATTTGACAAAAAGAAGTTATTGCAAATTCTTTTTCACTGAGTTTGAAATTTTTCAAATTAAAGAATGTACACAGAATAAAAGCACATGATTTTAATTTGATTGGATAGGTTAAATTTATTTGAATTTATAATTATATTAAATAAACAAAGAATATTTATTTATTTATAACTAAATAAATAATATTTATTTATAACTAAATAAATAATATTTATTTATAACTAAATTAATAAAAATAAATATATTAAAGCATTAAAACATAAATTAAAATCATAAAAATGATAAAAAATCATTGAATTTTCTATATTTTCCCCTAATTTTGTCTCTCAATTTTTTAATCTAAATATCGAAATAAATAGAAGTTTTTCTTGAATTTTTGAAAGAAATAAATGAATGAGAAATAGAATTTTTTCTTGAGTTTTTAAAAAAAGGAAATTAATAAGAAGTAGAATTTTTTCTTGAATTTTTGAAAGAAAGAAATGAATGAGAAATAGAATTTTTTCTTGAGTTTTTAAAAGAAGGAAATTAATAAGAAATAGAATTTTTTTCTTGAGTTTTTAAAAGAAAGAAATGAATAAAAAATAGAATTTTTCTTGAATTTTTAAAAGAAGGAAATTAATGAGAAACAGAATTTTTCTTGAGTTTTTGAAAGAAAAAAATTAGTGAGAAATAGAATTTATTGTTTATCGTTAGTTATTATATTGAATATTGATTGAAAATTAATTGAAAAATTTGTATTTAATTTGCATTATCTTATCGTAGAGTTATGGCATCTGGGGCAGGATCCAGTGGCACTGGAAGAGGACGCGGTTCATCTTTGGCAGATAACAAGCCTGAAAACAAAGAGGCTAAGCCAAATCCAAAGATGTCAAAAGCTTTAGGAACGTCAGCTAAAAGGTATTCTATTTTCCTTTTAGTAATAAATATACAAATAATAAAAAATTAATTAAAAGTACAATCGATCAATTATTTACTGCAAACTATTGTTCACTACAATTTATCACCAAATAATTCTAAATTAAATTGTTTCCTTTTTCAGGATACAGAAGGAATTGGCAGAAATTACATTAGATCCACCTCCAAACTGCAGGTCTGATTTTTATCTCTAAAATTAAATTTATATTTAGCATTTCAAATTGTTGCATTTTTGCATTTTTTTTTTTATTTTTTGTCTTTTTTCCTCTATTGAAGTTTAGATAGTTTATGAATTTATTAATGAAAATTTAATTTTATTAATAATTTTACTAATTTCTTTGAAAAAAATTCGATTTTCAGTGCGGGACCTAAAGGAGATAATTTGTACGAATGGGTTTCGACGATTTTAGGCCCACCTGGATCAGTATACGAAGGCGGTGTCTTCTTTTTAGATATTCATTTTTCACCTGAATATCCCTTCAAACCCCCTAAGGTTCGTGAAAGGAATAAATTCTTAACGATACGCTGAATTTTAATTCATATTCATTTTGGTGTAATTATTAGTCAATGATACTCTAATTTCAACGCAACATATTCAGTCGATTTTATGGCGTGAAAAATGGCAAATTTTTACCCTGACCTCTCTCTGATTTTTAAATTCAATTATACAAGACTTCAATAATTTTGTTAAATAAATCATGGTTGACACAGGTCAGGAAATTCAGGGAAAAGTCAGGGATTTTTATTAAAAGTACTGAAAAAAAGTAGATTTTTAGAATTCATAAGAAAATTCTGAATTTTGGTGTTTTGTTTGTCTTAAATTATGAAATTACCATGAATTCTAATGCATAACTTTCAATTTTTTTCTATTTATGACAATATCTTTTTAAATAACTTTAATTCTTGAAGAACTATCACAAAATTATTACTTAGAAATTATTTAATAAATAATTTTACTTAAATATTTCAAAATTAATTGAATTTTGGAAGAGTTGCGATTACAATTTTCATAAATAGATCAACTTCAAAAGGTTTCAATTTAAACTTTTATAAAATTTCAATTTTGAATGAATTTCATTAGAAAGAACATACATTTTTGAAAAATTTTAATAATTCAAATTCTTATTATTTTCAAAAGTTTTAATAAAAAAAATAAAAAAAATAAAATAAAATTTCAACTATTTAAAAAAATAAAATTTCAACTGTTTTAAAAAATTTTCCTCAATTCAATAATTTTCATGATTTTTGTATATATATTTTTTTGGCGTATGTTTCCGATAGAGGAATTTTCGCTTTACTTGAAAAAGAAAAATCGAGATTGATTATTATAATCGAATATTATTTTACAGGTCACATTTCGAACACGTATTTATCACTGCAATATAAATAGCCAAGGAGTGATATGTTTAGACATCTTGAAAGACAATTGGTCTCCTGCTCTAACTATTTCAAAGGTGCTGCTTTCAATTTGCTCACTTCTCACGGATTGTAATCCAGGTAAATCAATTTAACATGTTTTTCAAACATTCTCAGCATTTTTTTTTTTTTTTTTTTTTTTTTTTTTTTTTGACATAAAATTTTCATTTCTAATATTTATTTACACAGAATTTAATAATTGTAGAAATATCATACAATTATTATTATATTTATTGTTACTATAATATAATGATTGAAGACCTCCACGGAATAACGATATATGGCACATTTTAACATAAATGCAATTGCAATGAAAATATGTGCATTATTAAAAAATATGCCTAAACTAATGTAATAGTAAAATTGAAAAAATTGCTATTTTTTACGCAAAATTAACAAAAATACAACTTGTTAACTTGATAATATAAATAGTAAGTAAAAACGCCGTAAAAATTTGAATAAAAATTATGATAATCCATGAACATGCAGACTCCGGTTCCAAATAACAAAATAGTGGGGAATACAAAAATGTTTTTACACAAAGTTCAGACTTCATCTGCTAAAACCTATTTTTTCTACTCTCCTTTCTTTACGATTTGCTTCTAAACAATTTTAATAAAATTCTTTCAAACGATTCAATTATTTTCAAAAATTTTTCAAAATTGAATAATTTTGAATAAATTTAGTATTTTATTACAATAAATTGCCCAAAAGAATTCAATTATTTAAAACTAATTTTTATAAAATTCTTTGCAAACATTACATTATTTTCATAAATAATAAAATTTTCAAGTAAATTCAATTATTTGAAACACAATTTATATCACATTTTTTGAAAAAAAAATCGATTATTTAAAAAGATTTTTATATAATTCTTCAGAAGAATTCAATTATTTAGAAAAAAATTAATGAAGTACTTCGCAAGAATTCAATTATTTTTATAAATAATAAAGTTCTTCTCAATAAGTCAATTATTTTTAAAAATTTTAATAGAATTCGTTGCAAGAATTCAATTATTTTGATTGATAATAAAATTTTAACACAATCAAGATAAAATTTTTTAAAAATATCAATTATTTAGAATAAATTTAATAAAGTTTTTCACAAGAATTCAATTATTTTTGAAAAATTTTAATAAAATTCGTTGCAAGAATTCAATTATTTTTATTGATAATAAAGCTTATCGCAGGATTTCAATTTTTTTAATACAATTTTAAATGAATTGTTCGAAAAATGAAATTTTTCTTAAAAATTCCATTAAAACTTTTCGGAAGAATTCAGTTATTTCCAAAAAAAAATTTGATTTGTTTATTATAATTTAATAATTATTTTCAATACTTTTTTAATTAAATTTCTTTGGAATAATTTAATTATTTTTTAAAAGTTCAAATGGATTTTTTTTGTAACAATTCAATTATTTAAAAAATTTTGATAAAGTTCTTTATAAGAATTCAATTATAATATTCAATTATTCAATAAATTATTTATTTTTGTATTTGAATAATTGAATTCTCATAGAATTTGTTCTAATAAGAATTGATTTAAAAATGAATTTCAGTTAAAATTTTTAATAATGATTGATTATGATAAGGTTTATAGTGTAATTTTTTAGAAATACAAATTCAATTTCAAAAAATATTTGAATTGAAATCTTTAATAATTTTAATTATTGTAATACTGCGCCAAATAATATTTAAATTTTTATTTTTAAATAAAATTATCAAAGTTTTTTGAATAATTTTATTTTAAAATTTGAACAACAAAAAATTGAATTTTGGAAGAATTCAAGTTGTAATTTTTAAAAGGCTTCACATTGAAATCAGTTAAAATATTTTTATTCCTGTAGAAAAATAAATGGGTATTTTAATATTTATTTAAAAAAATTATTTTATACTTTGCTAATCTATGGCTAATCAAAGTTGAAAATTTTAAGCATTTTTAATTGCGCCGTAAATCTTTATTCCATGGAGGTCTTCAATCATTATTATTATAATTATTATAAGCTAATTTAAATATAATAATAGTAATTTTTAATTTATTAACTTTATCTTTAGTATGAATATTCAGGGTTGCCACAAGTCAGGTAATTTAGAGAAAATTAAATTATTCAGGAAAATCGGAAGAATGTCAGAGAATTTTATCAAAAGTACTGGAAAAATATCAAATTTCTAAAATTATTACAAAAAATTCCCGTTTTTGGTGTTTTTTTTTCCTAGTGATCCACAAAAAAAAAGTCAAAATAATGCCTAGAATTTAGAGAAAAGGAAAATTAACTGTTTTTGCGGCAACCCTGAATATTAACAATTTAATTAAAATAAAAAATAAATAACTAGTTAATAATTAAAAACAAAAATCTAAATCAAATTTCCAGCTGATCCTCTTGTGGGTAGTATAGCAACGCAATATCTTCAAAATAGAGAAGAACACGATCGCATAGCTCGTCTTTGGACTAAACGTTACGCGACATGAGCGAGCAGACAAGTTCCTCTTAATTCCCGTCAGACTCGTGCAAATTTTTTATCCGATAATTTCCTCCATCAAAATGAAGCAAAAACAAAAAAAAAGAACAAAACAAAACAAGGCTCAGACTTATTTTGAATTTTTATGTTTGAGCATAATTATAAATTAACACTAATTTTGGAACTTTGGGAATAACAAAATAATTTGAAAAAAATATATATATTTTTGTTGTTGTTGCATATGTGCCTAAATGACAGACAAATGCGCAACGAAATTGACAAAGACGAGTCAGAAAGGACAACCCCCTTCTTATACAATCCCCTCTTTCAATAAAACAAAAAATACCTGCGGAGACTTAGAATTTAACTGGATTTTTTTTATTTTATTTTTTATTTTATTTTAGTTATTGACAAATTTCAATTGATTTTATTTTTGAGGGCATCTTAATGTGGCTGCAACTATTTTTTTATTTTTTTTTTTTTTTTTGTCGAATTTATCCGAGAGATTGCGTAAAGATGCACTTTTTATTCATAAAAGAGAAAGAAAATTTACCTATTCAATTTCGGAGAGAATCATTCTATTCAGTAATTTTCTTTAGTTTCTTCCATCTTTTGTATTCATTTATATTTAATTTTATTTGATTTTATTAATATTATTAATTAATTAATTATTAATATTATTGATAAAGTATATTTTCTGTCTCGTGCTGTGATTATAATTGAAATAAAAAAAAAACGTTTTTTTATTGTCATCGAAATTAAAAGAAATTTTCTTTTTTGCCATTCACGACAAGGGACAAATTTTGATTATAATTAAAATATATAATTATTAAAATTTGTGAACGCTACATTAATAAAGAAGAAAATTTCCAAAAACGAAAAGCTATTTTTATTATTTTCAACATTTTTTTTAATAAAAATATTATTTTCCTGGATATAAAAAATTAAATTTCGATGATAATAAAATTGTATGATAATTCCAACTTTACTTTAGTATCACATTGAAAAAAAATTTATTTTATTCAGAGAACCGATTACTTGTCTTAATATCAAATAAACATTTACTTGAGTTAAATAATTTTTATTTAAATCCAATAAATTAAAATTAAACCAATAGTTTTTATTTTAATCAAATAAATACGATTTGAAGCAGATAATCTTTAAAAAAAAAATTAATTGTATTTGATCTAAATAATTTTGAATTTTAATCAAATATTATTTTTAAATTAATTAATTAAATTGTATTTTTTTTATATAATAATTTATATTTTAAACGAATAATTTTTATTTAAATCAAAAAATTTATTTAATTTGAATCAATATTTTCAGTATTTAAATCAAATAAATTGAAATTTGAACTTTGAATCAAATAATTTTTATTTAAATTAAAAAAATTGAATTTAAATAAAAAAAATTCCATTTAAATCAAATAAATTGAAAATGACTCGAATAATTTTGATTTAAGTCAAAAAAATTGAATTGGAATCAAGTAATTTTTAAATAAATCCAATGAATTGAAATTTATTCAAAAAGTGTTTATATTTAAATAAAGAAAAAATGAATTTGAATGAATAATTTCAGTATTTAAATCAAATAAATTGAATTTGATTCAAATAATTTTTAAATAAATTTTTGAATCGAATAGTTTTTATTTAAATAAAAAAAATTTTGAGTTTGAATCAATAATTTAAGTATGTAAATCAAATACCTAAATTGAATTTGATTCAAGTAATTGTTAAATAAATTTTTTAATTGACTTTGAATGGAATAATTTTTATTTCAATAAAAAAAACTGAATTTAAATCAATACTTTCAGTATTTAAATAAAATAAATTGATTTTCTACCAAATAATTTTAAATACATTAAGAATATTGAATTTGAACCAAATAATTTTTAAATAAATCAAATAAATTGAATTTGAATCGAATAATTTTTATTTAAATCAAAAAATAGTACATTGTACAACTAGTGGCGACTTTCACCACGAGTTGTGCACTACGTTTTCTCCAACGCCTTGCGAGGAAAGGTTTCTTCGTGAGTTTCGTATAATTTTATTTTAACGTGTGCTTATGTTTAAAATATAATAAAAGACGAATGTTTTGAGTGGGGAAGAAGTTAGATACAAAATAAATCTCGGTCAAAAAACAAGAGAAAAGAATAAATTCATGATTTACTTTCGCCACGCTCTTCAGAGCAGTTGAGAAAAGTTCTACTTTCGCCACACTTTTCTACCAAGAAAAGTACTACTTTCAGAGCAAGTGTTGGAGAAATTTTATTTTATATCAGGAATTTCAGTATTTAAATCAAATAAATTGAATTTGAATCATAAAATTATTATTTAAATCCAATAATTTGAAAATTTCTCGAATAATTTTGATTTAAGTCAAAAAAATTGAATTTGAATCAATAATATCAGTGATTAAATCAAATAAATTTTTATTTAAATCAAAAAAAGTTTAGTTAAAAAGAACAATTTTTTTTAAACCAAAAAAGTTGAATTGAAAAGTCTTGAGTGAAAAGTATTCCATACAAATAAATATTTATTTAATAATAAACAAGTAATCGTTCATTTGAATGAAATAAATTTTTTTCACTGCCCTTTATTTTAATGTCTGATATAAACACGGAAAAATTTAATTTCATTCGAAAACAAAAATCAATATTTTTAAACTTTTACTTTTTTCTTAGTTTCTTTCATCTTCTTTTATTTTATTCGTATATTTTAATTGAATTTTTAATTTAATTTTATTTTATTTTCAATTTTTATTTTCGTTTTCCTCCATTTTTTTTTTGACAATATTGTCAAAAAAAAGATAAAACTGCCGATTTTAGAGAACTTTTTTTTTTAATTAGAGAAGATTCGATTTCTTTTCGATGGAAGAAACATTCCGTGAAAATAAAAAACAAAAAAAAAACTTTACTTTTCTGTGATAGGCCGAAAAATTATCGAGTCGATAATCTCGAATGATTTGAAAGCATTAATTTTTTTGTGTTTCGATTTCTCCGAAGTTCAACTACTATTAACTTGACAATGTTTATGTGGGGCCACCGCAGTAAAAAAAAATCACTGTAATTGTAAATAACTATCATTTCTTGTATATTCTCGTTGATAAATAACGCCCAGCCATGCGAAATAGTAATTTGGATATTTGTACGCTTTCTTTCATTGTAACACTCGTGTAAGCTTTTGTATATGTAGGTTCGTATGTCATGTGTGAGTGTAATGAGTGTCAGTGAGCCACGAAGCAACGAAGCGCGATTATACTTTTCGGGAAGAAGAAAAGAGGAAAAAAAAGAAAAAAGGAAAAAAGAAAATAAAAAAGAGAAAAATAAGGAAATAAGAGAAAGAAAGAGAGAATGAGATAAAATATTGGAGGAAAAAAAGGAAACAAGAGGAAAAGGAAAAAAGAAAGAAACCAATTGGATCAAAAAATAATTTATGCTTGGCAAACGTTTGTCCGGAGACTCGAATGCAGATTGATAAATAATGGACTAATTTTTTTTTTTTCTGGAGAATATTCTGTAATGCTTCCACGTTATTTTTGTAACGAGCGATAGAGTTTTTTCAAAGCAAGGCGGAAAAACCGACTTTGTAAATAATCGACTCTGTAAAACGCATATTATAGCAAAAAAAAACTCGATTAAACTTAGGTGTTTGTAAGATAGCAAGTAATTCTTTAAAAAAAAGAAACTGAGAACACTGATCGCGAGGGGAATTTTTCCTTTTTCAAAAAAAAGAAACTTTGAATAATTATTATAAAAAAATGAAAGTAATAATTAAGGATTAATTAATTATTTAATTAATTAATCAAAAAGGATTTTTTCCTCCCCTTTCAGAATCATTGTAAATATCTCCCAAGTCTGGAATTAATTTGTACTGATGATAAATAAGTACCTCGCCAATACTTTTATTTCACACACAAAATGATAAAATTTTAATTCTAAAGTTTGACTGGCTTTTGTTTTTTTTTAAATAAAAATACAAAATAAGTAGTGCTCGTTTTTTTCTCGATTAGAAAGAAGAAAAATTATTTTTATCGAAACATTTCTATTTTCTATATGTAAAAAAAAATCGGTAATCGTTCCATTACAAATGTGTTAACTATTGATCATAATTGTCCGGTTTTGTAATTGAGACATCTTGATAATGAACAATATTAATTGAAAGAATACTATAATTAAAAGAATATTAATTGAGAGAATATTAATTAAAAGAATATCAACTGAATGAATATTAATTAAAAGGATATTAATTACAAGAATATTAATTAATAAACAATATTAATAAAAAAATATGAATGGATAAACAATATTAATTAAGAGAATATTAATTAATAAAGAATATTAAGTAATAAACAATATTAATTTAAAGAAATATTTAAGTAACAAATTTTTAATGAAGTTCAAAATGGAAATTTTGAAAAAAATTCTCAATGTTCTGCTTTTCAATAGAAAAGATAATAACAATACGTAATTTTGTTATTTACCGAATACTGTAATTTTTTTTTACAAATTTTATAATTCGTATTGTAATATTATATTTTTCATATTGCAGGCTTCGCACTCATTTAGAAAAATTTTAATAAAATTCTTACAGACAATTCAAAAAAATGTAATAAAATTCTTTAAAACTATTCAATTGTTTCTTGAAATTCCTCGCTAAGATTCAATTACTACTCTCAATATCTGATATTTTAAAAAAATTTCTCTAAAGAATTCAATTATTAAAGAAAAATTTTTTATAAAATTGTTCACAAAAATTCAATTATCTTCGTAAATAATAAAATTTTCACAGGAATTCAATTATATAAAATACAATTTCCAAGAAAATTCCTCAAAAGAATAAAATTATTTTGAAAATTGTCAGTAAAAAAATTCAATTATTTTCACAAATAAATGAATTCTTCCAATGGATTCAATTATTTTCAATATAATTGCAATTAAATTACTTCATAAAATACAATTGTTTAAAAAAATTTTAATAAAAAATTCTTCAAAAAATTTACAATTATTTTAAAAATTTTTTTTAAAAATTCTTTGAAAGAATTTAATTGTGAAATTGTTGGTGAGAATTCAATTATTT